TGACTTCACCTGCTTACTACATAGTGGCACAAAACAACAAAATCAACATGAGCTAACTTATGTTGCAGAAACAAGGTTATAACAGAACCTATTAAACTGAAACCTTATATTTTTTTCTAAATTTAGGTTGAAAAATAAAACTTTTAAATATCCCATCATGCCAATTTACTAGAAAGGAAAAGGGAGAGAACTTTTCTCAGTATAGGAAGAGAAGATGGTTACAATAACAGGTATGCTTGCACTACTGCTATCACTGCTATTTCTACTAGTGATGATAGAAATTAAAAGAGTCTGAGGCAGACATTTGTGGCTTACCCATTATCAATTACTCCCTGATTTCTTGGTAATAGAATTCTGGTATTTTTCTCAGGAATCCACCTCCCAGGAGAGGTGACTTTAACCCTCTTTTAAGAGCAAATCAGGATTAGTCTAAACCAATTATGACAATGCATTCCTTTCACTGATGGCATGTAGCCTCCTGGCAAAACTAAAACAGTTAATTGAGGGAGCAGAGGAGAAGATCTGAGAGTCACTGGAGTAGTTTCTCCTCTTCCTCTGTATATTGTACAGGCAAAAGTACTTCAGGTGCTCTAATGTTCCACTTATCTTTTCGTGTTTCCTCACTATGGATTCCAAAATCTGTGGATCCCCACTTCCATTATATAAAATGGCATTTATTTGCATATAACATATGCACATCCTCCCTGATACTTGAAATCACCTTGAGATTACTTACAATGCCTAAAACAAGTAAGTAGTTGTAGTAGTTGTATAACAAGTAGTTGTTATTTAGGGAATAATCACAAGAAAAACATTGTACATGTTCAGATTTAATTTTCTAAAGAGTATGTTCAATACAAGGTTGGTTGGATGTGCCAGAGTGGAACCTACTGTGTTTTAAAATAAATTAAGATTGGTTTATTCTAAGAAGGGGGGAGGAAGATAAAGGAGAATGATGGAGGGGGTGAATTTAACTAAGATGTATTGTAAGCACTTTAAATGTAACCCCAGTACAACAATAACATGCTAATAAAAATAAAATTAAAAAGATTGATTTGTTATGAGAATTTTACATATAATATTTACAATCCTTTTTTATAATGCTTATTTTTATGTTGCATAGCTTGACTGTCTAGTTCTGTACTGTCCAATATGGTTACAACTAGCCACATGTGACTATTCAAATTTAAATTAATCAAACTTTAAAAAAGTTTCATTCTTTGGTTACACTAGCCAAATTTCAAGTGCTCAATAGATAATTGGGCTAGTGACTACCAGGCCAGACACTACATGTGTAGATTATTCCCATTACTGAAGACAATTCTACTGGAGAGTGCTGGTCTAGATTAGTTGTTGTGGAAAACTTAAACTTTCATATATTATATGACATTAAAGCTAGCTCCAGCTTGGACAAATTGTGCTCAGACGACTTTATTAATTTGAATAGCATGGAAAATAAATTTTAGTATGGAAACCAAATTGCCTCAAGTTCTGAAATAGAAGTGTCAAGATTAATGAACAAAACATAATTACTGATATATATCCATGATTCAGTTATGTCAGTTATATTAACTGTATCTCCTTTTAATTTGCTAAAAGCTGAAACAGAAAACAAAAATAGCAATAGACATGTCAACCTATCAATGGTAAGTTCTACAAGTTGAGCTTCTAATACAGTTCCTAAGTAAAATGACACAAGCCTAAAACGTTGGCACTTTTTTCTTTTTCTGTTACCTATCTTAATTATTCATGTTATATAATATCCATGTTATTAGGGCCTAAATGTGTGCCACTTCCTACAGTTATATAATAATGTAAATAGCTGGGAATTGAGATGCAGGCTAGAGTTCCTCACTGCTACCTAATAGTTTGATATACAGCAGGTATTCACTTCTATTCTTCCTTATATAACATCTCTTCCTCTGAGATTCATGCCATCCAAATCACTATTGGGCTTAATAAATGAGGGTTACTTTCCCTCATTAAGGAGTTTGGTAAGTAACTCACAGTCTTGCTTTACACTCCAAATTCTAATCTCATTCTGGTGACTTCAACATCCACATTCAAGACCCGCCCTAATCTCACTAGCTTTGAAGCTCTTTGAACTCCTTCTCCACTCAAGTTTACGTATGCATTCCCACGGCCACACTCCAGATCTGTCATCATTTAGAATATTCTGACTTATCCTATCAAATACATTCCATTCTGTGATCTCAACTTCAACTTGCCTCACTCTGTTTGTCCTATTATACTGGTCCTTTGATTTTTATGGCTTTTTAAAGTTAGGTTCTTGGGTTTCTGCCTGTTGTCTCTCTTGGACTCCATTGCCATTCCTAGTACCTATGGCTTAGTACTTCAGTCATTCTCACTCATACCCTTAAATTCTTCTTGAGTTGTTTATTGTTCTGTTGTACTTTTGTCTTTCTCCAATCCATTCTCATTGAAAGAGTGAATCCACAGTTCTTTTAGTGTTTTTATTTTAATGCCTCAAAATAAAGATCATACTTATTAACATACAGGCCTTGCATTTAATATTCTTTCTGTCTAGAATGTTCTCATTCTTACTTTCTCCTTTTTTTGATCAACTCCCATTTATCTTTCAGGTATCTACCTTTCTTTTTTTTTTTTTCTTGTATTATTCATATGTGCATACAAGGCTTGGGTCATTTCTCACCCTTGCCCCCACCTCCTCCCTTACCACCCATTCCGCCCCCGCCCTTTCCCCCCCACCCCCTCAATACCCAGCAGAAACTATTTTGCCCTTATTTCTAATTTTGTTGTAGAGAGAGTATAAGCAATAATAGGAAGGAACAAGGGTTTTTGCTGGTTGAGATAAGGATAGCTATACAGGGAGTTGACTCACATTAATTTCCTGTGCGTGTGTGTTACCTTCTAGGTTAATTCTTTTTGATCTAAACTTTTCTCTAGTTCCTACCTTTCTATGTATGGCAAGAAATCCCTAAATCATTAATTAGCCCACCTGCCAATTCTATGTGCTTTTATAGCATCTCATACCTACTCCAACATAGCACTTATTATGCTCTATTATGATTTTCTGTACTTAAGTGATTTTCTCAGGAAATAATAAGATCCTTAAAGGCAGGGATTGTCTTTATCACCCTGTAACAGTCTAACATATAGTAGGTACTCAATTATTTCTTCAGTGAATGAATAAATAATGCTGATACCTTAAAAAAATCATTATGTTTGAAGTTAGATGCAATTATTCTGAGATCCAAGTCTAGTAGAATGAAATATGATCACCTCTAGAAAGTAGAGGAAATAGAGCAAGATCTATTTTAAGGGAAGGTTGCAATTTTAAGTACAAAATATAGGACAGATCTAGTTAAGGAGCTGACAGATGAGTTAAGATGAAGAAAGAGACTTCACCATGTAGATATCTTAGAAGATTACAAAAGGTGAAGGGAACAGCCAATGTAAAAGCCTGAAGTTGGGAGCAAGACTGGCATGTTTAAAGAAGGAGGTCCATGTAGCTAGAGTAGACTTAGTGAGGAGGAAAATGCTAAGAAAAGAATTCAGAGAAGCAGTGAAATAGACCTTGCAGACTTCTGAAGGACTTTGGATTTATGTAAAATGGGAGGGAGCACTGAAGAGAAATGGATAATGACACTCACTCTGCTTATTATATTGAGAACTGGAAGGGACAAGAGTAGTGATAGCAAATTTTTGTATTAGAGGCTACTAAAGGGGAATAGGATGTAGCTCAGTGGTAGAGTGCTTGCTTAACCTATGCAAGGCCCTGCATTGATTTCCAGCACTGCAATTAAAAAAAAAAGCTATTAAAATAATCCAGTAGAAGATAGTGGTAATTTGACTAGTTAGTAGCAGGAGAAGTAGGGCAGTCAGAAGTGGTTAGATCTACAACATATTTTGTGAGCAAAATCAACAGGATTTCCTGAGGGATTAGATACGGACTGTAAAACAGAAAGGAGTCAAGAAAGACTAGGATTTTTGTCTTAAGCCAAATGGAATTGACATCTGAGATGGGGGACACTATTATAGAAACAGGTTTGTGGCACTTTTTTTTTTTATAATATTGGTACATTTAATGTTAGATCTTTATTAAAAGCCTAATAAAGTAGTAAGATATGGGCCTGGGATGCATGGAGGAAGTCTGGCCTAAAGATACAAATTTAGTGGTCAAACACCACAAAAGAACTGAAATTGGATGAAGTCATCAAGGAAATGAGTGTTGGTAGAGCACAGAAAAGGCCAAGGTCTAAGCCCTGGGTACTGTAATATTAAGAGGTCAAAGAAAAGAATAAGAACCAGCAAAGGAAAATGAGGAATAAGCAACAGTGTAAAGAAAAATCAAAAATTTCAGAAGACAAGGAAGATGAAGACTCAAAGTAACTATTGGGTTTAGCAACAGGAAAGTCATCTATGACTTGATAAGAGCATTCCAGTCAAATGATGGAGGCAAGGCAGCATGTGGTAGCTCACACACGTAATCCCAGCTTCTCAGGAGGCAGAGATCAGGAGGATCATGGCTTGAGACTAGTCTGAGCAAAAAGTTAGCCATATTCCATCTGTTCTGTTTTCTCAAAATATTTATCTGTACAGAACAGAAGAGGCAATATGCCGAGTCCTTGGGATTAGGTGACAATACAGAGTCTTGTGGGATAATGTAGGAGTCTAGGAATTCTTGTCACAATAAACACAGAATGAGATGAAGGGCATAATAAGACTGTTTGGTTGAGGAAGGATAATGGTGGTGAAGTTGTGAGTGTGTGAGACTGGGTAATTCAGGGTATATATGGATTTCTCAATAGCTTCAGGGAAGAATGTACTTGCTTCTATTGCTGGGGCTGATGTAAATGATGAGTTCAGGCTAGTTTCATTCATTATTGACCATTTAGGAAATTCACATGAGCCTCATGCACATGGATTTCTGATTGAATAGCTTACAATTAAAATTTTTCTCCCTGCTCTAGAGGGACATAAGCTAATTTTTCATAGCAGAGTTTGGTTTTACTTACATCTGTGTTACAGGAGCGATACCGCTTTCTTTCCCCAAGGCAATATTTTCCACCTCCTGAAGGTCTGAAAAAACATTTTGTTTAATGTGTGAATACAATACACCTATCACACAAATAGTACATATATTTCTTAATGAAGCCATATTAAAATTTACTTTAAGAAAATATAAAGTGTTATATTTTATTAATTATTAAAATAATCATGCTGGTAATTGTTAGCAATAATTATGGTTGTTGAACATAAAAATTGAGATAATTTGTATGAGCAGTTTACAAAACTGTCACAATTTATATTTTTAAGAAATTACAATTAAATTAATATATATTAATTATATTAGCCATCATAGTTAAAAACTTAGTTCAATAAAATAAGTTTAAAAATCACTTATTTATAATGAAAAGCCATTTAAATCACATTGTAAAAACCCATATCTGATGCTTTATGTTTACAAAGTAGAAATGAAAAGTTTGCTTTTCTTCCAGATGAGAAGCAGAGAATGCTATATAATTTTCTGGAAATAGCTCCAGTTTTAAGTAAATAATATAGAAACTAATTTCCATCTCATTTCAAACATCATACAAAGTTTAAAAAGTAAACTTAAAAAGTCAGATGGCTTTTCACTACATAAATCTTTGTTATATCCAAGTTAACAAAAAAGTTAAGATGTCAAATATTGATTTACATTAAGTTAATCTTTAAGGTATTTAATATTAGGGAAAGCCATATACTATTACATTGCTATTATTGAATGGAGAAAACATCTAATTTCTTTTAAAAGAGGTCCAGATCATTCCCTTACATATCAGGAAATATATAATTTATCATAGAGGCTCATACTTTGGGTTATTAATTTACAGAAGCCTATGGTTGAATTTAGGTTAATTATTCTGCACTTACTTAAAAAGGACAAACTTACTGGTAGCAATGGGTAATTAAAATTATATTTGGAATTTGCTTTGAATGCTAACAAATGCTGACTCTAATGAAGGAAAGGAAATAATTCAGCTTGAACCCACATAAGAGAAATGGGCTCGTCAGACAAAAACAAGGTAGTGGGGAGGCAGCAATGTCTGTGTAATGAATGGGTAATAGAAAACTATTTAACAGAGGATTGTAATTGATAGAAAGTGGGAAAATGGAAACGCTGAAAAGACAAGAAACAAAACATTTAGAGAAAGAAACCAAAAAGAGGAGTCCAAGTTAAAATGAGAGCAGATGAAAATAAAAAATATATCATCTTTTACCCTGGGGGCTGAGTTGGGAGAACAGAAGTGTTATTACAACATCATTCTGTACCAAATACTAGCCAGTAAAGAAGGCTCTTGAGTTCAGTTCTAGACAAAATGGGTACTTGACACGCAGCAGCTAAGAAGCAGTTTAGTTCCCGGCAGGACAGAAGTACAAATAAAGGAAAAATCCACCTGTAATGGGCATTGGTGGGAGGGAGAAGCAATAAAGCTGGCAAAGAGTACTGATGGGACTGGCCTTATGCCAGGGGGACTCTGGGTGGAGAAAAGAGTAGTGGGAGAGGAGCAGTCTGACCTGCATAAAACAGTCATGGGGAGAAAAGTGGTGGCAGTTCTGGAAGATGATTAATGGGGGCATGTGAATGGAAACTATTTTAACACATGGGCAGTATTCTTTTCATTGTGATTTGTGATGCGAATCAAGGCATTTCAACCCTTGAAGTGCTCTCATTGGCCCTTTTAATACTAATGTAGCAGTAATAATTTTATGTGACATGTGAAAAGACCTCAGGTTTCCTGGGAATAATGGAAATGTAGCAAAAACCAGACCTGGATTCATCCATAATTCAGTAGTTTTTGGAGGAGGAAATCTATCTGATTATTACTAGATTAGAAGTCTGGCTTATCTAAGACAGATACACAATGCTTTTCTATTTTTTAAAAGTTTTATTTTTAGTTACACAATAAGGGAAGGGAAGAAAAAGAGAGTCTGTCTAACAAAACTCCTCAATTTTTCTGTGCCTATTGCTTGCTCTGAAGACAAGCATTTGGCTCACTAGAGAAACATTTTTACAGATAACATGTGAAACCACAGCTTTGAATCATTTCCAACTGTGTCTTTTTGTTGGCTCTGGCTTACTTTAGCTACTTACGCTGGACTGTCACAGTGTCTTAGGGACGAGGAGACGCCTCCCCCGCAGGTCCTGCTGCACTCGCCCCATAGTGACCAGGGACCCCAGCCCCCATCTACGCTCTGGGGCCAAGTGCCAAAAGGAACACAATCTCCCTGATAACACCACTGCAAGATTTCACAGAAAACACAGAATTAGCTTTTAGGCAGATAGAGCTATCAGGAAAGAAATACATAAGGATCAGGCAATGACCAATTTTAGGCATTAGCATTCTTAAAATAGATAACAGATAGTTCTTTTACTGTGTTTAGACACTGGTGAAGGTGCATGTGATTCACAAATTATCTTTAGCTAGGCTGTGATTTATAAATCTCTAACATGTACCAGGAGTTCTAAAAAAGCCTGACTTTGCCTCTTTTTCCTTATTTCTCCTCCTCCAGAGTTTTATTGTTTCTCATTATGGAGCTAGCTACAGACCTCAAGTCTTTTTTTAGATATTTTAGTGATTTCTAAAAAAAATTTTTCTTTATATTTCACTATTATTAGACTCATGGAATGATAACGCAATATGGAAAGTTCCCCAGTAAGGAATTTTTATGATGGTAATTGCTCTTTCTTAAAAAAAAAGTATTGGTTGAGGCTACAATAGTAAAAGAATGTGTTGTGGCATTTCATCTACACGAGCACTGCAGACATAATAAAAGTAATGCCAAGACACTAGGGACTGGGTACAAAAAAACCCTTATATACACTGACTAGCCATGTGTATGGCCCCTGCCTGAACATGTGTACTGGAATTCTGCTCAGCCTTACTCTCTGCAATAAACCACACATACTGCACCTAAGGAGAAAGCCAGGAATAATTTATCGAGATGCAGACATCACATAATCAGCTCATAACTCTAGCATGATAAATCTTATTTGCAGAATATGGGAAAATAAAAGTCTTTACTTTTTTTAAACTAAGCATTTGTAGGCTTTTATTTGGTCCATTTTTTGAAATTATCAAACTTTGACAAACCAAATTAATGCTCTGAAATTCCTTTTGTTTATATATAGAACAAGAGGGAACATGACTATTCAAGCTGTCAGCAATGTTAGATTATTAAAAATTCAACCTCATACTAAAATATAAAGGAACTATGATATATGTGATGCTTAGAAAGTAATGGGTTCATTGTACTAATTCTATCACCAACTTTGTTGGTTTTACCTCCAAGAATATCTGGAATTCCTTCACTTTTCTCATTCTTCCACCCTAAAACAATTGACAAGTAGAGTAGCTTCTTACCTGGCTTCTCTGCCTTCATTTTTTTCTACTAGAATTTATTTTCCAGAGAGCATTCAGAGATATATTTTTAACACATATTATCACATCATGTCATTTCTTTTGCTTAAAAGACTTCAGAGGTTTCTTACTTCCCCGTAATTCTAGGCAACAGTGGACTTAGTGATCTGGTTCCTGCTTCCTTCTTTAGCCTCACTCTCCTTTGCACTGGTTGCTCCAGACATACTGGCTTTCTTTCTTGTTCGTAATACACAAAACTTCTTGTTCCCTCCTTAGCACATGTGCTTTTGCTGGTCTTCTGGTAATTCCCTCTCTCTCTCTCTCTCTCTCTCTTTCTCTCCATGTGGTGATGATGGGGATGGAACCGATAGCCACATGCATGCTAGGTACCACTGAGCCCCACCTTCAACCCTTTTTATTTTATTTTTGACAGTCTAGCCAGGTAACCCAGATTGGCCTCTAATTCGAAACCCTCCTGGCTCAGCCTCCTGAGTGCTGGGATTACAGGGATATACCACCACATCTGGCTTCCAATTCTTTATATTGCTGTCTTATCATCATTTGGTCTCAGGTCAAGTATCATTTCAACAGAGAGGTCTTTCCTGGACTACTCATTCTGATGTGGCATCTGACCATTCCTTCCTGCCCTACTCTGCCCCTTTCTAGGATATAATAGTGATTATATCCTCCTGTTTCAGTTCTCCCTTACCATTTTGCAGTACTTTAAAGTATCTTGTTTACTTTCAAATTACTTCTTTGATTGCTTCCTGTCCTTAAATCTAAGTCTGGAGTCACACAAGGTTATTACAATTAATTAAAAGGAAAAAATTCAGTTCCTCAGACTCACTAGCCATATTTCAAGGATGCCATTGTTACATGTGGATACTGAATACTTTGTTGGACAGAGAAGATATAGAACATTTCCATCACCACAGAGCATTGTATTAGAAACAGTTAATGCCTAGAATATGCTTGGCACCTAGTAGGCATGCAACAAACTTATTAAATAAATAATTAGTTAAATTATAGAATTCTGCCATGCTTTGGTAACTACATGTCAGAAAGGAGCTAGAGATACTAAGAAAATCAAGTTCAGGGCTTGGAGCAGGTTTAAGAGGTAGCGAGTAAGTGAGAGGCCCTAGGTTCAATTCCAGGTAATGCAAAAAAAAAAAAAAAAGTCAAATTCATAACTTATTTACCTGTTGTTTCAGATGCCCTGGAGTATTTTTTTTTTCATTTTTCAGGAGAGAAAGGAATTGTGGGGCTCTAAGAATACTGAAAGGTGTAGGTTTCAACATATTTAATAATATTACTACACATTTCTAACATACTCACAAAATGTAGAGCAGTGAGAGAGAAGTCACGTAAATTCTCTCGTTTTCCTTTTAAACTTTCTTTTTGAACTGGAGGTATAGCTCAGTGGTACAGCAGGTGCTTACCATGAACAAGGCCCTAGGTTCAATTCCCAGCACCCCCATGCAAAATTTAAAAAATTAATAAGCCTTATTCTTAATATAAAAGATAAAAATACTCTAGTGTTTATTTTATAAAATGCTGCTCAGTTCTCATCATTAATTAATATCTACATGATCATAGTATTTCATAAATGGTTTGCTAGAAGGACTTTTATCACATAAATTAATGCTTTCATTATTTCTATTGCATGGAGTCGTGAAAATTATATCAAAAAGCTAAATAACAAAGATTAATAGGTAAAAAATTAATAATAATAGCATAAGTGTCAGTTATCTAGCAGTCAACAAGAGACCAGTCTCTAGTTTAATAATTAGCTAACATTTAGTTAACCAGTTTGTGAGTTAACCACTTACCCTTGTGGAGAAGCTATATTATAAAGCTCAGTACTCATTCTAGCAGTGTCTTAGTACACAAAGCAAGTCACTTGCTTTCTTTTCTTTTGTTTCCCTAACCATAAAATGGGAACTAATTTTAGTTCTTGATTAAGACAACTTTAAAAATTAATTCAATGCAGACATATTTTTCAAAGAAGTTAAAAATGTATCAAACAACTTGTTTAATTTGGATTTCTGGCAGAAGTTTTATTTTGTTGTTTTGTTTTCCCCCTTTGTATTTAAAGGAGGGAATCTCTTTGGAATTCTTGCTATTTCTTTCTTTTGGTTATAAATATCTTGATTCAGAATATGATTTTAACAGTGGAAAGGCATTTGACTGAATAAAAGGGCTCTGAGAAGCCCATAAGAGATTTTACATGCATCAAGCAATTAGAGCTGCTTTTCTAGATGCTTGCATTAATCAATGTATATGAAGATTTTTAATGTGTGTAAATAATGAATTGAATAAGTATATTACACCAAGCAAAGCAACATGAAATATATAAATCCTGTGCACATGTAAAGGTAAAACTTTTGAGTGTTCTATCATCTATTTTTTAAAATAAATTTTTATTAGGATATATTCTTTATACAGGAGGGGATTCATAGTGATAAATCTGATTAGACTGATATTGTACATTATTTACATTGTCCCATCATCTCTCCTCATCAACCCCCTCCTCACCCCACTTAAAGCAATTGCAAGAGGTTTCTTAGTTTTGTTTCTTATAGGTGTATGAAGTCCATCAAACATATACCATTCCTTCACCCTTCCTTTACCCTCTACCCTCCCACTAGAGCCCCCACCCACTGTACCTATTATACAGTCTTGGGTTTTGTTATTAATATTTAAGTTGATGTTCAAAAGGGGTCTCAATGTATACCCACGGTGAGTGTGCTTTACTTTGGTCCATTCAACCCCTTCCTCTATCATCTATTTTTATCCTTTCTTTTTTACATGAAGTTGCCAAACCTATAAAAACTATTTCCAGAAGCATAGAATTTTACTTCATGTTTTAAATATGCATATGTAAAACAGCTTCTAATCTTTGCTCTTAAAGGTTATATCCAATGCAGTAATTTTGCATGATTCTTTCTAATTAATGGTCTTGTTACTTCAGCCTATATTATCTAGGTAAGTTGGATAAATTTGGCCTTTCTTTTCTAATTCAGGTGTGTTTAACAAGATTCCGAAAAATGAAAAAAAAAATGAAACCATCACATTCCCAGAATAAAATCTTGTATTGTTTATTCTTTCTTCTAAGTGAAATAAATGTTTTAAGTACCATCTAGAAAGATAACATATTCCAGTGAAACTTTAAAAGCCTTCTGAAGAAACTATTCATTACTAAATATCTCTTATTATCAGATTGCTAAATTTCATTATTTACCTAGGGGATTGTGTTTAAACAAGATATATTAAAAATCAAGCAATGTAACTTTGACAATTTGTCAGAATTCCACAAAGGAAAATTTCAAGATGAGTATGCATGGTATTTTTAAGTTTTTTTTTTCCTTTAATGAGAACCATTTTAGGATGTGATTAGGTATATCTAGCCAGCATCTGACATATTAGACCTCTAAGGAAAACCTCTGTCTTGTTTTTTTTTTTGGATGGTACTGGGGTTTGTACTCAGAGCCTCACGCTCACTAGGCAGGCACTCTACCACTTGAGTCACTCCACCAGCCCAGGAAATCCTGATTTTAATCAAAACAGAACAGTCTTCCCAAGTTAAAAGAGTTGAGAATTGTAGCATACCACTAGTAAAAAGCCTTACCTTTCTACTGTGCAGGTGCGGGAATCTCAAGCTGCATTTTATCCCAAATTCTAAATCAGAACTTGTCATCCCATCCTATTTAAATTTCTAGAGCAATTGAAAGAACTACTCTTTCATTACTTCCTGTGTTGATTGTTTGGGGTCCAGTCAAAACTAATATTCTACCCTAAATGAATTAAGATCTAAAGCTGCAAATGTCATATTATATATCCAGAGCTTTAGAAAGGCATACAATAATCCTAGTCTAATCTTGCCCCATGTTTCACAGACAAAAGACATTAGGAATCAATGTCATTTATATGTAAACCCAAATGCTGGACTGTATCTCTAATTATGTCTTCTAGAATCATTAAATCAATCTTTTGGCAATAAACCAAGTATCTGAAACCTTCTTGTGGTCACCAACAAGGATTACAAGGATTGGGTTCTGATTATCCTTAATATCCTGTTGAGCAACAATGCCAACACCACTACTGAAGTTTTTACAATCTAAATCCTTATTTACTATTTCATCAAACATGGCATCCCTCTGATTCCTGTCCAAAGGGCTTTTGCTGATGGTATATTCAAGGAAAGCTCTTTGGCTGAAAGTTGTATTGACTGATTTGTAGGAGACTGACCCATGGACACACAGTGCCAGCACACAGTCTGGGCTCATCAAATTTCTTCCTTTGGTTAATGCTACTGTCCCTGAGCACATCCATTCAGACCATATGGTTCTTATTCAATCCTTGAATGGCTTATTCAGGCAAACATCCAATGGCTATAATAGCGATGTCAGACCCCCCAGGACTCACGCAAAGATCAGTTTTTAATTTTTTGGCCATATTTCTTACTCCATCTGCTAAATGTGCATGGAACAGTTCCCATACTTACATGGAACATTTATGGAACTGTGCCCCCGGGCAGGGATCCCATATCTTTTGCAGCCAGAATTTGACGAGATCATGGATCCAATCCTCTGGATATGTCTATGCTATCACTCAAGCAATATTTCTAACCCTTCCCTTCCTAAAAAAGATTTATACAAAAAACTATGAGCAGCTTTGGTTTTATTCTGCTGGCTAGACAGGGTGTAGGTTCTTTCTTGTTTCTTCTGATGAGAGTAGTTTTGAAACTCAGAGTTAAGATCAGAGGTTGTGGATATTCCATTCATGTCTCTGGGACACACAAACTAATTCTTATAATCTGTGATCCTCATTGATGCCAGTTAAGACAGTCTGGCAAAGAACTTTCTGTACATCACCATCCAAGGCTAGAAAATAAGGCTAGAAAAAAGCAATGATGATACTGGGTAAGCCCACAGAAAGCTCACTGAGCTTTTACCTCATTCTATCCTCATAATATCTATGAAATATGTAGAAATTAGTTTTCTCTCATTTTAAAGATTCTACTATTGTACTAATTGTTATACAATCATATATTCTTAGCTCAGTGATCTACCCACATTTCCTTCTTACTGTGATTCTTCACCTAAGAAACTGTTACAGGTAGATAATTGAAAAATCCATTTAGTAATTAAAGGGCAAAATACATTTTTACCACCTATCTAACACTAATGACTCATTTTATTCCTGTGACAATGAAAAACTCTTTCCTATGCAAAACTCTTCATCAGAACATGAAATAAAATTAGAGGGAATTTTCAACTCTGGAGTCGGGAAGACCTGGGTTCAAATTTTAGCTATGCCCCTAAATTGCTGTGTGATGTTGGATTCTTTAGTCTTACTTTTCTCATCTCCAAAATGGAGTTAAAAATAGTACCCACCTCATTGAATTGTTGTTAACACTGATCAGAAAAATGTCTGTAAGGCACCTAGCAATATGTGCCTGGAATACTCTAGAACTTTTAAAATATTTATTATTGTTGCCATCATTGTTACTGGGAATGTTGACTATTTTCAGATGGCAAGTTTATAGACTAAATACACAAAGTTGATCACAGCAATTAAAAATTCCACTTTAATTTTGTCACTAGCACTTTGCATGGCTGTTTTGCTTTGAGTCAAATAGCTATAGCTCTCATAAGGGTAAAACTGAATTTGGTAATGGTGAACATACTTCTCTCTTTAAGGAAAAATATAACAGAAGCTAAACAATAAAAATTCATATAGGAGCTAATATAATAAATATGGTCAATAAAAACAAATTAAGAAGTGTGAAACTCATGTGTTTAGTTCTTTGCTTTTTATTTTGTTTTTCTTAAAAATGCAGGTTGATTTCATTCTCTGAAACCTTCCTCATAAATTCAAAGGTACTTTGTTTGTTTATTTGTTTGTTTTGTGGTATTGGGGATTAAACCAGGGCCTCACACATGCTAGGCAAGTGCTCTACCATTGAGCTATGTACCCAGCACTGCCTCCCCCCTCACCCCCTCCTTTTTTCCAGGCAGGTCTGGAAATGACTATGTAGCACAGACTGACCTTGAACTTCCAATCCTTCTGCCTCAGACAATCAACTGCTAGGGATTACAGGGATATACCAGCACATCCAGTCTCCCAGCCTTTTGTTTTTAATTATTAATTTTATTTTAAGACAAGGTCTCATTAAATGCCAAGTCTGATCTTAGATTTGCAATCCTCTTCCTCAGCCTCCCAAGTATGAGCTTACAGGCATATGACACTACACTCAGCAAATCCAAAGTTTTTATGGGTGCTTTGAGGGGCTTCTAAATCTTTTTATTTTTTTCCTATTGTTTTTCTTTCTAGGAATCTGCATTTGTATTTATTTTTTCATAGGTTCATTCATTTGTTTGTGCCATTCCTAAAGTATTTATCTTCCATGTTTCTGGAACAATGACTAAGATTTGTTTTGTAGATCAGTTTTAGGTAGTGACATTCATCATATTGATCTTATGATACTACATTCATGTTGTGAGTAAAATTGACCTCTTGACACACAAACATTTCAACACTTAGATTATCACATTGTTCTTTGGAGGTTTGTCAGAAGCTGGCAATGTCTAAAGACAGGGTAAGGGTAAGCAAAGGGTTCTGTGAGCCAGAACATTTTACCTTTCCAAATGTATTTATTAAGCTGGAGGTACGGCTCAAGCCTTAGAGCATCTGCCTAGCAAGCCCAAAGCTCTAAATTCAAAGCCTAGTACTAAAAAAAAAGTAATGTATGTAGTACAGTTCTATAGACTTCAAGAATAAGTTTAGGGATCAAAAAGTTGAGTACCATCAACCTAGAATAAGAATGTGAATCCTTAGAAATCAAATACATTTTTGCCCAATTTTATTTGCTTTCTTTTATCTATGCTTATATTTTTATGCCTGGGAATCATTGTATTTCCCCTCTATCTGCTTATCTAAATTTAAATCCAATACTGTCACAAGCTTTAATATTAAAGAGTGTTTTCTGAGCCTCCCTCAAAATTTCCAAAAAATATATTATCTCTTTCACATATATGCATATAGCTAGCTGTAAGATATGACATTTTAGGGCCTCTTTTTTTATTGAGCACAAATGACAAGATATTAAACATGTGTTTGCCATATAAATGGCTGATGAAGTTGAGCAACATGTTCTCAAATAGCTACAATGCATGGTTTAATTCTTTGGAAGGATTCTATAACTCATAGAATGCTTCAAAGAAGACTCTGAGATGTTGATTTTTTTGTTGTTGTTCTTTTTTTGGCTGTTCTAGGCATCAAACCCAGGGCCTTATGCCATAATAGACAAGCACTCTGCCACTGAGCTACATCTTCAGTTTGAGGTGCTTTTAAAAAAAGAATTTTTTAAGCTTTTACTTAAAAAAAAATAAAGTAAAATAAAAAGCCACCAGGTTTAGTGATAGTATTATTCTAGGAAATAGAAACTGTGGCTCAGGGACTAGATCTCAAGAATAATAATCAATGGCAAATAAAGAAACAGATGCTCACTGTGACTTTGCCCTCTTAGAGTTATGTATTTCTTTATGAATTGACATAAATTGTTACTTATCATTGACTAAAATGGTTGATTCCAAAATAAAACTATACTGTTGTTTCAAGAATGTGGCTCCTAATATTTTCTATTATTTCAGTGAAAAAAACAGAAGGAATTTTTAGTAGTGCATGAAGGTCTTTGTATTTTTATTGACTACTTACAAAATCTGAAAAAAAAATGATTAATCCTTTTGAAATGACTCTATCAATTCTTATATTTAGAATAATTTACCAACATTTCCAAACCCAACATGGAAAAGCCATCAACATGGCACTAGGTCATGGATCCTGAATGAAGCCGTCAGCAAGGATTAATAAACTGTGATAGTTGCCCAAAAGCTTTCATTCTTTTTATTTAAACATCCCATTGCAAGCTGAAATTCAGTGTAATTTTGTTGAAAGTTGCCCAGCTAACATGGAAGAAGTGAGAACTGGGAACAGATGACAAGTAGTAATTATTATTATAAATTTAGTTCACAGCAATAAACTCTAGAATTTACATATATAACAATTCCTAGAGAATACTGGGAGTAGCATATGTTTATTCCTACCTATTTGAGCAATTCCTCTTTTTTTTTCCTGCAGTGCTGGGATTGTGCCCAAGGCTTCGCACCTGTTAGGAAAATGCTCTACCATTCAGCTACCTCCCTACCCCTGTTTGAACAATTCTTAATAATGATAATTTTGCAAATCAGACCAATGAAAACCAAAATTATTTAGGTCTAATTTCTATAAATTTCAATAAGTTTTCATCATTTTTCTGCTATTGTTTCCTTCTCTTCTGTTGCAATTTAAAAGTAACTGTACTTAGACTATAAATTTGTTTCAGAGGGTCAGATAATTTTTCCAAGGAATTATTTACCAGAAAAAAACTAGACTATATTATATGACTAAACAGACTAAGTTATATGATGATAAGATTGTTGTTGAGGTTTTCTTGGTGCAAATATGACCCAAACACATATCAATAGAAATATGAAACTGACACAGAAAATAGTTACTCTCTGTAATTTCATAAATAACATATTTGAGGTATAAAGATATGATAAAAATTGGATTAGGAATTTATTATTTATAAATACATTTTAAACTAATATACAAGAATTCCTAGTGGTTGAATATCAGCATCAGATATTTATCAGTTTAGTCTATATGTCAAACAGCTAGTAAATCACTTGAGCTTACCCCCTTCTCAATATTCCCAGTTTGACATAGTGTCCCCTCAGCTGCTGGAATACTGTTGGTGACACAGCGGTTGCTTTTGCTGAGGCACCAGAGCTCTCTACACACTTCCTAGGAAAGAAGGCAAAAGCAAGTTGATCAGGAATAGAGACTAAAATAATGTCCAGTTCTTGCATAAAATACTCACAGCTATTCAGTATTGATGAAAAAGAGACCCCAGGTCTCTTGCTGTTCTTGAAGCCTAAAACATAAGGATTTTGGAGGAGGTTCTTAGAGAAGGTGGGTTACCCATTTTGCAAAACATTTAAACATCTGTTTCTATAATTTAGTGGATAAAGAATGTCATAGCTTTTAATACTGATTGGGATCTTTTTATAGTCAAGTATAGAAATTTCATTAAAATAGAAGGGTAGGGAGAAAGTGTAATACATAGAAAGGAGATATATGTTTGTTACGCTCCAGAATAGAAAATAGTATACAAACTTACCAGTTATGAATAAAAGTGTTGCTTGGTCTACTGCAATATTCAAATAAAGATGATTTTAAATGAGAGAGAGAGGAAGAGAGAGACAGAGACAGAAAATGGGCAATTTAAAGAAATGTGAAGTATACGTCAGAGAAATTTTTAAAGTTGGTATTTGCCTAAGAACAATCTAGAAATGTTATTTTCAGTCTGTGAATGTAGCCTACTGCCATGAAAGGGAAACTTAGTTTTGGTAACATGCTGCCATTTTGGGCAGCATTTATGGCATATTTCAGATGTTGTGTGAGGCTGACTTTCTTTTTATGATTTTTCATTTTCCTACCTCAGCACAGGGGAATTACAATACTTTTTTCTAATATTATCAATATAAAATAATTCTTCTTGTTCACATCATGTTGACCTGCCAGATTCCAAACTAAGCACCTAGTATTATCCCTGAGTAAAGTGTTTTAATCAACAGCCAATAAAAGCTTAATTTGGAAGAAAATACTCAAAATTTTCAGTTTCACCAACTACCATCACTACTGATATTATAAGTTTTTAATTTAAAATAGAACTATATAGTGTAATATATTATAATAAAATAAAGATAATGTTGGAATGAAGAGATAAATTAATATGTGTCACTTAATCCTTTTGCTTTTATTTTCCAACTGATTTTTTAACTCTCAAAACACAATGAAATCATGTTGCATAAACACAGTTCTGAAGTGAAGCAGAAAAATACTGAAGTAATTAGTCTACAAATAGAAATGCTCTACGTAATATGATAGAAAATTGAGGGGAATCTCTTTGGGCTCCTCTTAAAGGTGACCATCTCCCAGGCAGAAAGGGAGATATATAATATTCTACTAGACTTTAAATACTTTTAAACTCTATTTAGAGAACTAATGAGCTAGAAGACAAAAATTTTTTAAAGAGCATGTACCTATGAGTGATAATATGAACATAAAACTTTCTTTTTATAATTATTATAAAATCTACTTTGCAAGCATTTTTAAATGGTACTTTATTATTCTTTTTCTATAGGATATGAATTCTTAGTTTCTGTTCCTAAATATATTTTTAGTTTAATATTTAAAAAGTAGTAGAAATAACACACATTTAAGGGCTTCAAAAAATACTATTCCATGTACAAAAATTCTATCCAAAATCAAACTATAATGAATTCACAAAAACAGAGACACAATACTAGAACTATACACAGAGATTATGAAGAAAATTTTATCCATAAATTTATCCCTGTAAGAAGAGGCAAGTGCTTAAGATAACTTTTTCAAAACATTAATGTAAAAATTCTTAATACAGCCCTCTTACTGTTGAGAGAATGATGGATTTTGAAAGTTAGATTTCCTTATCTAAAAGGAGTTTGTAATCTTAGTGGGTTGCTGAAGGTTCAAATTTTGCTAGGGTATTAACTTCTCACAGATCACTGTATGAAGTATGGGACTAGAAACCTCTGTTGGGAAGCATGCTCAAGATGTTCGACTAGTCATGAAGAAGGCTCTAAAGAACTTTCAAATATACTTCACAATTGGAATTTCAATTTGAGTAAGAAAGATCATCCAATTTAGGATGATCTCCCAAGATTTAAAAGAACAAAAAAGATACTCTCTTGAAAGATCAAAAGCAACAAAAATTAATTTCAGACCAAGTAAGCAAGTAGTATACTTCCTAAAATTGCTTACGAACAATTTCAGATTTTTAGAAATACCCTTCTTTCTCTAAACTACTGAATTCTAGAACATGGATAATATATTTACCTAGATTAATCAGTTTCATATGCACAGGAGTATTAGTTGCTAAACAAGTACCCTGATTCAGCATCCAACCTCTAATAAAGTTACCTGCAGGCTGAAATTTTTTTACCTGTTGAGAAATTTGTATAACAACCATCATAGTAAACATATTAATTTCCCTAAATAAAAATTAGGTAGTAGGATATAGTAAGTGAAAGTGATTAGCTCTAGAATAACAGTTTTCTTTCACATATTCATGATTCCTGATAGAAGTTAAGATTTATTACAATTAGCTTCAAGACCTCTATGAACTAATAAATCATTGCCTATGTTAGCATCTCCTATATAATCTTAATTTCATTTTGGGAAGACTCTGTAGGGAAAATGTGGAGCTCTTCTGGCCCTTGAGTCCAAGCAACGAGAGAAAAGTTATCAACAGCTCCACTAAGGGACATTTCTGTTAAATGACAATGAAAGCTTAAATGGAATGTTAATTGTGGGCCAACGTCAAACCCTTTAGGAGAATTGCCTGGCAATGCAAAAGTGATAGATATCAATATTCCCCATTCATTTATAAATATTTAGTGAAAATCTGCTATGCATCAGGCACATACTAGCATTATTAAACAACAATACGATCACTTAGAATTCATGCACACCATGGAAAATAAGGAAGGGCATAGTCAGACAAGTAACTATGGAGTGGTACTGCTCTATGTTTTTTAATTTCTGTGACAAAATTAGAAGAATGATATCATATGGTTAGGATTTTCCATGAAACTAGATTTAAAATTTTTTGATGGACTGTCATTATTTTTTAAGTTTTAGTCTTTTTACTTTTTTGATATTACAAGGGACTATAAGAGTCCCAAGGCCAGGGTCTGTGTGCCTTATGGCAGCTTTGACAAAATGTTCTTTTTTGGAAAAATTAAAAATTGGTATCCATATCTTGGTCTGCCAACTTTGGGGAAGAAATTTTCTTTGACTACCTTTCTAAAAGCTTATGAATCACCCACTGCACAAGACTTTCTAGTCGATGTTTATTTAGATGCCTCTGTGTGTTTACGAGTGCCTTTAATGACATATCCCAGCAGTATCATCTGAATCCAATTTCTTTCTCCTTGACACATATCCATTAGTGATTAATTTAGTGAGGAATTCTTTTCCTCATTCTCAGAAAATATATTTATTTTACCCTCATTTTGAATGATATTTTAATTGAATATACAATACAGGCTGACATTTATTCTTACCTCAGCATTTGGAGGTATTAGAGTTACTTGTTTGTCTGTTGTCTTTTGTAATAAATCATGCTAGTTGCTTTCAAATGTTTTATAAGTTGGTTTCTTGCTGTTTCACTGCTATATCTAAGAGATTTTAAAAAATTTATAGGACTCATGTTTAGAAGATTTGGATCTTTCTTTGATTCTAATTTCCTTAATATGCCTCTTTCCCGTTCTTGCTATTCTTTTTCCCAGAACTCTTAATCACCTTATATTGGATCTTCTCCTTTTAGCAACCTTGTCTCTTAACTTCATGGGGAATTATTTCTTCATGCTGCTTCCAATTTTGCATTCAAGCTTATCTTCAGTGAACATACTTTTTTAAAGCATCCTGTGCCTCCCGACTTGTAGTATAGTCATATGCATTGTTTCTATCACACATTCCAAGGTTTTCACTGAGTCAGTTTTCATGTTGATTTATTTGGTTAGCACCATGTAAACTGTAAAAAGTTTCTCTTTGTTCTTTAGTGAGGCATAAGCCTAGGGCTCCAATTTCTACAGGAGCCATTTTCCCCATGAAAGCACTTGCACAGTTAAATCGTGGCTGACATTTGTTCCCGGCATCACCATCAGCTAATGCTTGAGCCTTGAATTTTGTAGTTTATCATGCTTCCTTCTTAAAGATGTAGGTCACTGAGAATGGGATCCAGGCTTTCACTTCTCTAATCAATCAACAGTTTAAAAATAACACAAAAGGCATGTCTCTTCACAACTTCTTCACCTGTTCTCATGACCTCAATAGTGAGCTCCATTTTAGAAATTTAGCCAATAAGCCATCTACTATGTCCAATAAAGAAAGGCCTTTCTGTAGGCTTTTCAATTTTTTTTTCTGAGGCTCTCTGTATAATGCCATGGTCTCTAATTGTGAGAAAGCTTGCCTAATATCTTGAAATTAGTAATGTACTAAGAAATAATCACATATAAAAAAAACAAGACTTAATATTAGCATGGTTCCCCCATTTACCAACAGTTCCTATGTCTCTTCTCATCACAGAAACACATGTTGTAACTAAGTGGACTAAATTTAATTAAGTTTGTTCCTATTACTTTATCTAGGATTTTTGTTTCGGTGCTTGAATGAGTGATGTGTTTATTGTTTGCCACATTTTTGAAATTGGAACTCTTTTCTTGAACTTTTTAAAAAAAGTCAACTTTCCAAGTGATTGGAAAAAATATGCATGTCAACCTAGAACAGCAGTCATTTTAACTAGTGGGCAAAAGCTAGTGGGAGTAGATTTCAATTCAATATATAGAAGACTCTTCCAAGAGTCAGACTGAACAATGATGACCTGAAACTAAATCCGCACACTGGAGATTCTCCAGCACCCACTTCATGACCACTTGGCAGGGGCGTTGTAGGCAGAAGAAAAGAAGGAACTATTGCATTTTCAGAGTATAATGTTAACTACTTTGCAAGGTATATTCACATTCATGTCTTATTTCATCAACATGGCAATCTTCTTAGAAAATATGAAAACTTTAGGTTCAGAAAATGTCAATGACTTGCTTCAATTCTAGCCAATATCAGCTCTGCCTAAGATTTTACCCACAGCTAAGCTACCTTCCCACTTCTCTTAAATGTATCAGAATTGAACAATGTCGCTT